TGGGTTGGGTGGGGTGGAGTTTAGTGAGGTGGGTGGAGTGGGTGGGGTGGGTGGGTGGGGTGAGGTGGGTGGGGTGGGTGGAGTGGGTGGGGTGGGTGGAGTGGGTGGGTGGGTGACGTGGGTGGAGTGGGTTGGGTGGAGTGGGGTGGGTGGAGTGGGTGGAGTGGGTGGGGTGGGTGGCGTGGGGTGGGTGGGTTGGGCGGGTGGGGCGGGTGAGGCGAGTGGAGTGGGTGGGGTGGGTGGGGTGGGTGGAGTGGGTGCTGAGTGGGTGGGGTGGGTGAGATGGGTGAGGTGGGTGGGGTGGGTGGAGTGGGTGGGGTGGGGTGGGTGAGGTGGGTGGAGTGGGTGGAGTGGGTGGGGTGGGTGGGGTGGGGTGGGTGGGGTGGGGTGGGGTGGGGTGGGTGGCGTGGGTGGGTGGGGTGGATTGGGTGGGTGGGGTGAGGTGGGTGGGGTGAGGTGGAGTGGGTGCTGAGTGGGTGGGGTGGGTGAGATGGGTGAGGTGGGTGGGGTGGGTGGAGTCGGTGCTGAGTGGGTGCTGAGTGGGTGCTGAGTGGGTGGGGTGGGTGCCCGAGTAGGCTGTGTGATTGTAAATGCGCTGTAGAAGACAATTCACACTCCTCTGCTCACCACACACGCACCTCCGATTGGCACGGTTTGCTACGTACGGTGAGTACGAAGTCCGTCGTACATCCATTCAGCTGCGTGCATTCTACATGCCACGTGGTGCTCCTGTTCCCCTTCATAGGAATCGCCTTCCTCGACGGAGTTATTGCATCCCACATCATCATCATCAGCAGCAGCAGCAACACCTGATGACGCACTCTCCAGCGAAACGTCGGACAAACTTGTGAAATACAAATTGTGCTCGCTTTCTTTCAACAATCCTCCTCCTCCTCCTCCAGGTTGGCTGAAAGAAAAACGTTGTCGTGATTAGTTTGGTTGGCTACGGACAGTGGTGCAAAACAAGTTCTACTTCATACAGACTCACCACACAGACCCACTCACCACACAGAGACCCACAGACTCACCACACAGAGAGCCATAGACTCACCACACAGACCCACTCACTACACAGAGAGCCATAGACTCACCACACAGAGACCCACAGACTCACCACACAGACCCACTCACCACACAGAGACCCACAGACTCACCACACAGACCCACTCACCACACAGAGACCCACAGACTCACCACACAGAGAGCCATAGACTCACCACACAGAGAGCCATAGACTCATCACACAGAGAGCCATAGACTCACCACACAGAGAGCCATAGACTCACCACACAGAGAGCCATAGACTCACCACACAGAGAGCCATAGACTCACCACACAGAGACCCATAGACTCACCACACAGAGACCCATAGACTCACCAGACATAAACCCATAGACTCACCACACAGAGAGCCACAGACTCAACACACAGAGACCCACAGACTCACCACACAGAGAGCCATAGACTCACCACACAGACCCACTCACCACACAGAGACCCACAGACTCACCACACAGAGACCCACAGACTCACCACACAGAGAGCCATAGACTCACCACACAGACCCACTCACTACACAGAGAGCCATAGACTCACCACACAGAGACCCACAGACTCACCACACAGACCCACTCACCACACAGAGACCCACAGACTCACCACACAGACCCACTCACCACACAGAGACCCACAGACTCACCACACAGAGAGCCATAGACTCACCACACAGAGAGCCATAGACTCATCACACAGAGAGCCATAGACTCACCACACAGAGAGCCATAGACTCACCACACAGAGAGCCATAGACTCACCACACAGAGAGCCATAGACTCACCACACAGAGACCCATAGACTCACCACACAGAGACCCATAGACTCACCAGACATAAACCCATAGACTCACCACACAGAGAGCCACAGACTCAACACACAGAGACCCACAGACTCACCACACAGAGAGCCATAGACTCACCACACAGACCCACTCACCACACAGAGACCCACAGACTCACCACACAGAGACCCACAGACTCACCACACAGAGAGCCATAGACTCACCACAGAGAGCCATAGACTCACCACACAAAGCGCCAGACTCACCACAGAGACCCAGAATCACCACACAGAGCCATAGACTCGCCACACAGACCCAGACTCACCACACAGAGACCCATAGACTCACCACACAGAGACCCACAGACTCACCACACAGAGACCCACAGACTCACCACACAGAGCGCCATAGACTCACCACACAGAAAGCCACAGACTCACCACACAGACCCATAGACTCACAAAGAGACCCACAGACTCACCACACAGACCCACTCACCACAGAGACCCACAGACTCACCACACAGAGCGCCATAGACTCACCACACA